AAGGGATGCTCTGTATTCTTGGTGCTTGGGTGGGGGGCAACAGTGTCCTGGCCCCACTGGTGGACCTCCTGATGGCACCTGGTGTTTTTGCCCACTATGTGACAGAGTGTTGGACTGGATGGGCCATTGGCTTGATCCAACATTGCCTTCCCTTATGTTCTTATGAAATGGTACTGTCTAGCATTCCACATCTCTGGTCTCTGCAATGTATAGGTTGGCTCTGCATACGGGCACCTCGGCAGCCACCCTATGGGAGATTCCAACAATGCTGTCCAATCAGGCTGCAGCCGAAGGGTCCTCGCCCTCCACAGCGCTTCAGCGGCAACTGCAGGGTTGGAACCAAACACAGCAATGTGTGCGGCAGCCACGGTTGCGTATAGAAGGCTTGCCTGGGAGATGTGCAGGGGGAATAACTGCCGCTCAGAAGACGCTGGCTGCTGCGATTACTGGCTCCCTCCCCTCCCAGCCACCCAGCCAATGGCAGCCCAGGTTCGCTGAGGGAGCCAGTCATCGCAGCCAGCGTCTTCTGAGTGGCATTTTTTCTGCCCATACACTAACGGGGCGCATTTTAGAATTTTGGCACCGACTACTCAATTATAATAAGGGAGAGATATGATTATATTAGGACATGGATATGGTTTCTGAAGCGAAAGTTGTTTGGTTCTATATGTTTCTTATACTGTAGATTGTGTGTATGTGTAATCTGAGTATTGTGTGAGGCTAGGATAACCTAACTTTCATGCTATATTGGAACTGCACTGAATTGGAAAATAAGCTTGAGCTGTTCTGAGAGGATGAGAGGGTCTGTCTGAGACAATCCAGCAACATCCTCCATAGGACGGTGCTCCTTAACTTGCTAAGGAGGCTTGCATAAAGCTTCTGGCTCTTATCCAGGTCTGGGAATAATAATGTTACAAGGATTCTTTTGATTCTGCATCAGACCAGTGGTCAGTAGCCAATATTCTTGGGTCTATAAAAACAGGAGTTTCTGTTAGAAAAAAGGCAGGAAATGTATAAACATCAGTGATCAAATTAGGATAATCCTGTTATGGAAACTGTAGCTCAGGCTATGGCTCTATAGCAGCGAATCTGATTTGTATTCAGAAGGTCCTTAACTTCAATCCCCAGCACCTGCAGTTAAAAAAGGATCAGGTAGCAGGTAATGTGATACAGGGCCACTGCCAATCAGCATAGATAATACTGACCTTGACAGACCAGTTGTCTGACTCAGCATAAGGTAGTTTCACATGTATAAAAACTGGACACTGAAGAACAGTGGAATGGTACGCACTAGAACCTGGTGGAAATACATGTGTTCTAATCTCTTTAGAGTCCCCACTGCAACCCAGTGCTGGAAATAAGCACTTGTTTATAACCACTGGGGACCACAGCTGGCAACTACAGAGAGGTCTGAGCATAAAGAAAAAGAAACACACATGCAGAAATGTATTGTATAAAAGGCACTCATCCTTCTCTAGCTTACCTCTGCAACCTGG